TCTCTCTCTCTCTCTCTCACACACACACACACACACGCACACATACACATACACACACACACAAACACACACACATATTATATTAAATTCTCTCAATTTCAGATCATGGAAAAGCACAACATGAAGCAACAATGATAGATGTACCACTTAAAGAGTTTAATAGGATCTCTAACACCTTCCATCCCCCATCCCATCTCCCCCCCCACCAAAAAAAGTGGTAATCGGACAAAGAAAGTAGCAAAACCGATCGATGGCACTTTGTATTTAGATATCTTTTCGCAGACCCAGGTAACATATCTTTCACTAGAAATAGTAGTAGAATGCAAGCTCAATTTGGGCATTTACACAGAAAAAAAACAACCCAATTTATAGCTGATATAACAAAGCTGAAGTGTTTTGAGTTTGTGCATGGAGTATCAGTCTGATAGGATCACAATCACGTTGTCATTATTTTTATCTATATTTTTCTATTCATCAAAACATATTATATTCATCATCCTTTGGAAATCGAAAGAAACTCAGATTTTGATTCTAATAGCTGCAGTTTATAGCAGAACGCCATTGACATTTCGTGGTAACCGGGGCCATGCTTGTCTGCGATCAACAAAAATGCCTTGAACAATGTTTTGTTTACCGCGCGTTTAAATTTTGTTGGTGTGTAATTTTTTGTTCTTGTTATTGTTCTGATGCGTTGTTTTTCTATTATTTTTTTGGGGGGGGGGGCAATGTTGTATAGTGTAACGTCATTCAATTTGATGTTCCTACCTTCATTAGATTGTAAATATAACATGTAGATTTAAATGTGTTATTATGTTAGAGCATTCCACCAAAACCGATTACATGTACTGACACTGGCAGGCCCTAGACAAGTGTATATTCTAAATTCAGAAAAAGGAATTAACTTGCCAGAGTAGTATGTTCTTAAAAATAATAGCCTTAGCTAAAGCTGTTAAATAATGAAATAATCTGAGATAGTATGTCATTGTAATGTTAGAATTGGATTTGTTTACAACACAAACAAGTTATCCCTAACAGAACCCACGAAGGCACGCAGTGCCTTGACCCTAGGCTCATTAAAAAATTTTTTAAATATTTTGATTGGTTAAACCATTCAAGAGAGTAAAATTTTCCATTACAGAACCAATAATAGCAACAAAAGGTGACGCCTTTGCACAAAAGATTAAGATTTACCCCCAAATCGACAATAGTCGCCTCCCACGCTCGAGAGCTGGCCCGTCCATTGGCGATTTTATTCACCTCGCGCGCTCAGTGGAGAGAGAGGAAGGCGAGTTTTGTCTCCTGGAGCGCTCAGTGATCGGGGGGGGGGGGAGATTATGATGCCCGAAATGAAATAAAAAAGGGCGAGGAAACGAAAAAACCGGGTGAGAATACTTGGCTTGTTGCTCAGCAGTGTTGCTGCAAGGATGATGATGGCCCTGGCAGCAATTATTCAGCCTAGCCCACCTCCCCAACCTAGTCCACTGACTCACCCCAATGGTTGCCTAACCCCAGCTCACCCATTTTTCATTTGATTCCTAGACTATTCTTTGTTTTGTTTTTTTCCTCCAGAGGAACACCCATGTCTTTTTTTTTGGCTATGTTGATGACGATGAAGTAGCTTCACACAATGTGACTCTGATCGTTGGCCGAGTCAAGGTTTGCAAGCAGATGGAAAGGGAGAGTAGTGTGGATCACAGAGGTAACTCTTACCCTAAAAGAAAGGTGGAAAAAATGTTATTGTAGTCAAAGCAAACTTCAAGTAAAAAGTGGTTGGATGTTCTATGCTAATACCTTGTATATATATATATGTAGGACGACCCAGGTTCAAATCCCCAAGGGGGCATTGTTGAACTTGGGTTGTTTTGAGGAATTTTAAAAGTCTTTCCACCTTTTTGGTGTACTTGTATTGTGAGATTGATATTAAATTTGGAGAAACAGCCTCCTAAATAATTTTAAAGTGTTAAAAGGGGCATTAATCCCATAAAATTTTGCAATTTATTTTTCCCCATCCCCTTGCATGTAATGGATAATGTTTTGATTGTAAGGAGAAAAAGAAAATGGGTAGTACCCATTCTATCAGACATTGAAATATGTGTGACATGTCACAACGCTGTGGAATCAGGCGCTCGTTAATTTTTGGGCATATATGGAGTCATTGGTATCATTTTAAAGCTTGTTCTTTTGTCTTGCTTTTGGTGAACAAAATACTCATCTGTCATGAATAGAAGTTGAGATAGATCTATTTGCAATTGAAGGAGGTCGAGTTTCAGAGGTAATATTGGCGAGAAAATGGCCGCCAAAGTTTGGTAACTTCCATAGCTTGAGAGTGCGTGGAAACGGAATATTGACATTATTTTTTGTGCTTTTAATCAATGTTTTTCAGTAAAATACACACAGAAATAAATGTGTATTTAAGTAGACATAAAAGGCGTTAAGCCAAAAAAAGAATTAGAAAAACAGTGGCGCAAGGGCTAGAAAAATGCAGGTTTCTTCGATTTCATTATTTTGAGGAGTGCCTGATTCGACACGATGCCTCACATATAGTTTTCCTGGTTGAATTTTTAAAAGCATCTGATCATGTTGTATAGCATCAAATCCCAAGTGTTGTTTTCTCTACCCAGGAACCAGACACATTTTGTAGAGGACTGTATCGACGGGTGGAGCTACAACAGCCAGCATGTTGTATGTGTTTCAGATGGACGTTGGTCAGATGCTGACCTTTGACATTTCCCTCCTGATGGACACGTAAGGGCTTGTTCTGTTTACCTCGCTGGTCTTTGATCTTAACAAAGCTGTGACAAGCTTTTCCTCTTTGTTGGGAAATTGCACGATGGAGAAGAGGTGGACGGAGAAGAGATTTGACCCCTAGCTTGTCCCCCTCCATCGCCTTATATAAATTGACTTTTTAAATGGAATTTTCTTGCTTATTGTTATTTGTTTTGTGCATTTGGAAATGCCTGCGAAAGTATTGGGAATTGCTGTCCTGATGAATGCTTTCCCCCTACTTTCTGTTTGCAGAGTAATGAGCTAACCTTTTCTTTTAGCCAATGTCTATTCTCTCTATAATAAAACTTAGAAACATGCTGGACAGGACCACTTTCTGTTTACCTCAAAGTTCAATTTGTTTATTTTGATCGTTTTAAAAACTTTCGAACTGCTTTAACAGCCACCACCTGCCCAAGACAATCACCTGTGCAAAAGACCACTTCAGATCCCCCCCCCCCCCCCCCCCCCCGGTAAGAATTTTAAATATGTATTTCAATGACTCTGTCCAAGATTTCCTCCTGTGCCTGAGACAGCAGCCTCTCTCTCTCTCTCTCTCTCTCTCTCTCTCTCTCTCTCTCTCTCTCTCTCTCTCTCTCTCTCTCTCTCTCTCTCTCTCTGTCTCTCTCTCTGTCTCTCTCTCTCTCTCTCTCTCTCTCTCTCTCTCTCCCCAACAAAACAAAGACAAATCGGAGCAAAATTTTAGACAATTTCGGCTGTATGTTTAGTTCAGCTTCATATCCTTGTCAGGGATATGGTTTCTCGACTATACCCCAACTCCTTCTTGCTTTATTTGTTTGTCCATTGTAGAATGGTAAGCCTCCAACAGGATATTGACTGCTCAGTGAAAGACTGATCATTTGTCACTTTTCAAAATGGTGATTGGCAGAGTGTTACACTAATCAGGGGCTTCAAGCCTTTGCATGGTCCGACATTGTGTCCTTGGGAAAGGCACTTTACACACATGAATTTCCCACTTGGCTGGGTCCTTTCGGAGATGGACGTTAAACTCGGAGGTCTCACCTCTGAAATAACCTACCAGTGTTGATAGGGGCTTTAAACCTATACCATTTCACCCTTTTTCACACTAAGCAGTGGAGATACTCTTGGAATTATCTTGCTTGTTTCTTTTGTCCGTGGCAGGGTGGCGCGTCTCCAACAAGAGATCGCTCATGTGACGGGCATCTCCGTGGACCAGCAGATTCTGCTTCTGAGCGGCGGGCAGAGCCTGCACCCAGACCAGAAAGTCATCTCCTATGGAGCAGGGGCTGTAAGTTCTCTTTTTGCTATTAGTGTCACAACACAGTGGAATAAAGCGCTGGTCAATTTTTGGGCCTTTAGACTTATTGGTATTGTCTTAACGCTTGTTCACTTGTCTTATTTTCGATTAGATAAATACCCATCTGTGTAAAACATACGTCGATATGCAAATTTGCAATTAAAGGAGGTGGGGGTAATTTTATTTCAGAGATAAAATTAGCGAGAAAATGGCCACCAAAGTTTGGTGACTCTCAAAGCTTGAGTTCCCTTAAAAACTGAAAATTAAATTTTTTTTTTGGTGCTCTTGTTCAATGTTTTTCTTACTAAAAATACACATTAAATGGACATTAAAAGTATTGAGTCAAAAAAAAAGTCAATGAACATTGCCAAATGGGTGGGAAAATATTGGTTTCTTCGATTTCATTATTTTGATGAGCACCTGCTTTCACAACATTGCTACACATATAACACTATGAAATCTGCTTAACTCATTCGCTACGCCGAGCCGTGGGGCGCGGCGCGGCTAAAGTGCCGTCAGTACGCTAAGCCGCCCCCGGCGGCTCGAGAACCGACGTTCAATTTTAGCTTGGTTTCTATTCCAATCCACATATCCATGTTAAAATAAAGGTCATAATATAAAGTTGACTTCCGGGTCAAGCGTTTCCACCGAAAATCAGAAGTTTTGATTCAGTTTTGAGACACGATTTCGAAGTTTATGCGACATTTTTTTATCGCGAAGCCCAAATTATAGCCCAGACACCAGTCTTAGTACTTTTACACAACAAAATGTATCATTATTTTGCTCACTAAAGAAATGTAGGACTCTTCTTTATAATATTGATACTACTGGACGCAAATTGCTAGTGCACTGTAATTGAGAAATCAATATTTTTGAGTGCTAGATCTAGGCCTAGATCTAAATAGTCAAAATATTTTTTTTCTCCCCAAAATTACATTTTTTGGTGAATTTACTCAAAAAGTACCACCTAAGACATGTATAGGCTTATTCCAAATATAATTTTGAATACAGTAGTCTCCGCCTAAGATCCCACCGCTTACGATCCCGGTTCGCTTAAGATCCCGCTGTTTTAAGAAAACAGAATTTTTGCTATACAAAAGTCACCCCTAAGATCCCGCTCTGATTCACTCTGAAGGTCTACATTCGGCTAAGATCCCGCATTTCAGATCATAATTTGCGGAACAAAAACCCGGGCGGGCACAGCCGATCAACCAAGAGTGAAAAGTTGAGATCAATAAACTGTCCGTCGCGTCAAAGATCAGCCTCTATCGTGAATGTGATCACATACACGCTGTAAAACTGGATAAAGCGATACAATGTTTGCCCCCGACGGGATCACACCGGGGTGTGAACTGACCGACGCGTTTGTTTTCCCCACGCATCACACTCACACCTGAGCTCCCCCACTAACCTTACATCACTCGCTGGGTGGAAAGGGCCTACACGTTCGTTCCAGGCGGGATCACATCGAACCGTGAACTCTTCCCTGACCATGGCAGTAGGTGTTGATTGCAGCAGTTGTCTCTAAGCCCGAATTTGCTAGACAGACTGAATTTTAATTGGTGTGTTCTCGACGTAATGGTGTGTAACGACAAAGGCGTTTGGGGAGGGGGTTAGCTCGGTCTGAGATGGAAAGCTATAAATTTTCTACAGGTAAGAGGGAGGGGCAACTGAATAAGCGTAGATCTTGAGACTCATGATAAGATAATAAGTGAAAATGGCACGTCTCATGGCACTATGCACTCTGATAGGCCATCAAGGTTAACCACTCATTGCTCTCCATACGTCACAAACCAACCAAGGGGTCACGTCAGTTCATTTTAGGGTGGAGGGAGACCATTTTACCGATTGTAAGCCTTAACATGGGTCCCCATAGATTCTTCCCTGGGATCTTCGGTTAAGATCCTGGTTCGCCTAAGATCCCGCATTTCTTTGCTCCCGAGCACCGGGATCTTAGGCGGAGACTACTGTATTTCCATATAAGATACGAGTGTTTTTTTCTGTTTGGGATCCTTTTTTCTAAATTATTAAAACAAATTTTTTTTTTCAATATCGGAGGGTATGATCCAATTGTACAAATATTATGGAATATATGTAAATAACTGCTCATTTTTCAATATTTTCCTATTCTATATGCAGTTATAGTTATTTTGATGTATAATTTGACTAGGTGCAAACATATTTTTTGAGTTTCATCTGAGATTATTAATTTTTTGTTTTCAAATTTTATCTGCAGCCAATCACAATTGTGTTGCATAATCGCCTCTTACAGGAACCAAAGTTGAAAATACTCAAATAAACAACACAGATGTATTCTACAAACCATACTGAAAATGTTGGTATATAATATGTTGATATTTATTTGAATTTATGGCCCCCAAGACCTGTGAACTGCGCACTAGTCATCATCTCATTTCGCCCTCCCGAAAAAAAATAATCCACAAGCCGAAAATAATACGTAGCGAATGAGTTAAGCCAAACATGGTTAATCCAAAAACAACTATACAAGCCATCTGAAAATGTAATCCCTAATTTTTTTGCTTCTATTTGAGCAATCTATCAAAAGCGAAAAACCTACCTGAAAAAAGAAAATTGTGGTGACCCTATGTATTTCTGTTTTAAGGCATACTCAACAATATTTTATGTATACTTCCAGACAAGATATTCAGTCTCTTAGCAAAACTGACTGTGTTGAGAAATTGATGTGAAAAAATCAAAAGAATTATCCAATGAAAGGTCTGATTCTTTTTCTGGTTTGAATTTGATTCATCTCTCTTTCTATGAAACTCCTTTTTTTTCTTCTGGATTTCTGAACTTTTTTTGTCTAAAAAAAAATGGAATTTAAAAAAATTTGACGGTCTTGCCTGTGTTATAAGCACTTATGATATTCTATTCTTGTTCTATCTTCTTCTTTCACCCGGGTATAAATCTATGTTTATTTGAATGTAAAAATATAGAAGTCTACTCTGATGTGCTTGAAGAAGGATCAAAGCATATTTTCTTTGTGGCTAGTTAAGGGGCACTGTTCTTAGTTCTGTCTCTCACTGTTAAAATGTTCTACCTCTCACTGTTAAACTGTTCTATATCTCACTGTTAAACTGGTCCATCTCTCACTGTTGAAATGTTCTAACTCTCCCTGTTAATAGATCGCATGCTGTGCATATATTACCTTTAGGATGGATACTTTCTGAGCTAACAAATTTTTAATCAAGTTCATTGAGTTTTTCTATAAAGCTTAAAATTTTAAGTCAAGTTCATGCACAGTTGCCATCTGTGCAAATAACTGCTTCCCATTTCCCCCCCTTGAGTCTGTTTTTATAATAAAGTGACACTGTAAGACATCTGCCTTTCTCGGAGACAATGGGTGCGCAGTTGTAAGTAATTTTGATTGTAGTTTTTTTATGCATACAAAACAATCTAAGATGTTATTCACTTTTGTAACAGTTCTGTCTTGTTTGTCTCTCCTTTCAAGGACACCAACCCGGTGTTTTTGTTCAGCAAGTTGGCCATCACAAGTCAAGAGCCGCCACTGATCAAATCCTTCGGGGTTTCTAAAGGTAAGACCTGGGTAAACCCATCGAGCCCATCCCACACGTATATCCACGGAATTGTTGGCAAGCAGTTAAATTGTTTTACGCTCAGAAGGCAACATTTTTAACACTTTCCCTACCACGAGCCGCATTTTGCGGCTTGCGGACGTGGCCTCGCTGGACCGAGAGCCGCAAAATACGGCTCGAGTGGCTCGCTATCTATTCCAATCCAGTAATGAAAGAATACAAAATTCTCGGCCGATCCACGTTTTCAATATAATAGAATAGACTTCCTGTTAGCAGATACGAAAGAAAATATTGAACTGACAGACGATTTTTAGTCATTTGAGCGCTTTTTTTGTTCCCTTCGAAACGTAAATATGAGGAAAAAAAGCGCTCCCCTGACTTCAGTATATGTCTCATATTTTCAATTCTATATTTTAGGTACACATACATAACTTTCAGCATTTCTTCGCATTACTTGAGACAACCTACCTGGGAAGTTTGAATGATGCTGTTGTTGAACTTTTTTAGTTATGACCTTTCAAAGCTGGAAAATTGTTGATTTCATATGACACCTTCAATATTGCATAATCACTTTTAGAAACCCCAAAGTAATATAATTGGAATAAATCTTCAATATTGTATCACCATCTAATAGATTATTTTGTAACCTTCAGATTGATGGGCCATAAGATATGGTTTGTGTGTGTTTAGTTGGAAGTTTTGACATTTTCCTTTGGTGGGGTAGGTGCGTAAAAATAGGTCATGGAAAAGCCCTGGGCCAGTGGTGGATTTTGGCCTGGTAGGAAAAGAGTTAAGTAGAGAGAAAAAAACCCTGTTTCATTCCTTTAACAATTAAACCTACATTATGTATCTTTCCTTGCTTTTTTTTTCAACATTCAGAATTTGAATTTTGTCACAATATTTCTCTAGTACACGCAGCCAATACCACAGAATAAGGAACTGTGAGAAAAAAAACACATTTTGGGCTTGTTGTACATTTGAAAAGCTAGCCAACAGAATGTTCTTATTTCTTTTTGCCAGTTTGTGGTTGGCGGGTGCTCCTCTGCAGTTTACACCTTCTATCCTATCTATGATCTTTCATTCTGAGGTCCTGCCTCTTAAATAACTAACAGTGTTGATAGGGGTGGTAAACTCTTACACTTTTTTTTTGGCCAAGCTAAACAGCTGTACCACATTTATCTTCGGCTAAGGTCTTGCCAAGATTTCTGCACCCATGTGGAAGTTGGGAACATGCAGTATGATGAATAATAAAGTTGATTTCATCAACTACATGCTTGAATGAATCACCGAGGAGGTCAGACAGTGGAGTTATGTTAGCCTCAGGAGGTCAGGGCTCAAAGTGTTGCACAATTTCAGAACTCATTGTCCCATTGTCACTGTTTTATTTGCCATTGTTTCGGGTGGAAGAAAAGAAAGTTTGGTTCTTCAAATATTCTGAAATATGTCTACTTCATCATAGAGAATAGCTTCCCTTAGCGTTCCTTTGTACCTTCTTCAACCCTCAAGGTATCGCTAACAAATAGCCTGTGGTGTCAGAAAAACACATATTTTTAAAAAAAAGCTTGTCTGTTTATGGTTTGGGCTTTTAGATTATAATTACAAATTTTGTGTGTGTCTTTGTCAGTCTCTCACTCTTCCACTACTCCTTACATAGAAGAAGGTTCTGCTGTTCAACAGTTTGTTCATATTTTTTAAGTCTACGATTTGTGGATGGTTGGAAGGTGCTCTGGTATTGTTTGCTCATTCTTTCCTTTGAAACATCTATCGTCCTTATCTCTCCTCATTCTTTTTTTGTGTTTGTAACTCCAGTTTTATATAACCTAATTGTGTTGCAAATATCGTGAAACTCATACTTTAAAAAAAACAAAATCTATAATTTTGTTCTCATATCATGGCTTTTCTTTTTTTTTTTTTTTTTTACAGAAGTTCTGCATGTCCTGAAGGATCGAGTTGCTGATGCTGTCAAACTGCCGGTCAGTTTCGACACAGTGACCACCCGGACAAAGCTTGCAATAGTAAGTTTGCCTTTTTTTGCGAAACTTTGCTGACTCATGTTTCTTCATTACCTAAGTATATGTGTCACAACGTGGTTGAATCTTTGTGCATGGGGAGTTTTGATATTGTCTTAAAACTTGTTCCTTTTCCTTGCTTCTGATGAAAAAAAAACCCAATTTATCTTGAACAGAAGACGAGATATTTGCAATTGAAGGAGGTGGGGCATTGCCTGGTTTTAGAGGTAAAGTCAGTGATAAAATGGCTGCTAAAAAATTTCATAGCTTGAGATTGGAAAGTGAAAATTTACATTTTTTGTGCTTTTAGTCAACGTTTTTCAGTAAAAATCCTCATTGAAATGTGTATTAAAGTGGACATGAAGGGTGTTGAACCCCCCCCCCCCCCCCAAAAAAAAAAACAACTGATAAAGATTGCCAAACTGGCGGAAAAATGCTGGTTTCTTCAATATAATTATTTTGACAACCACCTGATTTTAGTAAGACGCCTCACATAAAGTGCGCCCGTCCAGCTGATTCACTTCATCTCTCGGTTGTTTACTGTAGCAACAAAAATCGACCAAATTCCATTCATCAATCCTTGTTGTGTGTAATCAGACTATAAGTTTTTTGCTTGGATCGTTTATTTCTACTCAGTTTGTTGTTTCTTTTATGTAAACAGGTTAAACAGGAGTGCAGTTATGGGCTAGTTTGTGATGTTGGAAATTTTGATGACAAAATTAGTCATATTCAAAGGAGATATAACCTTATGTATACGAGATGTTCGATAAAAATTCTCCCTACTCGGGAATGGAACTCAGGTCTCCTGCCTGTGACAATTAAGCATTTCACCGCTACTACACAGACACTGATGGTATAAATTGTGTAAATGTTGGATTGTTGCTCCGCTGTGTTGACACAAGGATGATGATGGTCCAAGCATGATTTATATGTGTGTCGATTTAGTTCACTGTCTCACCCCAGCCCACCACCCCATCCCAGTCCGCAGCCTGCCACCCCGGCATCTTACTCAACTGTGTTATTTGTCCCCCGCTCTGTTCCCCAGCAAGTACGAGACAACGCGGGCAAAATCCTCACCTTCTGCAACAATGAGTTCAAGGAGCAACATCTACAGCACCAGGGTTGGAGCGCCGTCGTGGCTAATCTGGAGGAGATCGCTCAGTGAGTTCGCTGCTTGGAGTTGCTTTTACTCATCCAGATCGCGGCCTAAAAAAGCTATATATAGTATTGTGCTCCTGTGTTGTAGAGAAGAGTACATTTTCCTATGGGTGACTTACAACAACAGAGAAAAAGTTTCCTTACAGTTCTGCATGTTTGAATAAGGCACATCACATATATGTGAGGTACAGAAAGAGATGTAATTTTTTTTTGTCAGCGTTGATAAGAAAAGTGAGAATTGCCAAAGTTCAAAATTTTCTAAGATGGTCACCCGTTGTCAAGGAAAGAAGTGGCCAATCTGATACAGGTGGCCGTTGTGGCAGGTTCCACTGTAATGAAGACCGCTGTGGCTGATAATCAGACTTGTTGATAGAAGATAGAAGAATGAAACTAGCAGACAAGATAGGATTTAAATGTTTGTTTTTAAACCAGATTTAAATGCGATCAATGTAGGAATTGCAATAGGAATTTGTACTCCTTCATTGATGCAGCTCAGGTAATTTAAAGAAGGCAGTGGGCTTTGACCGTGACTGTCAGGGCTAACCCGGGCTGAGTGGGGTACATTGTGTAAGCAGACAAGTTGGAGATAGTTGATTGAAGTGGGTAGAGAGGCATGCTGTTCAATTGTTCGCTTACGTTTTCTTTAGCTCTTTGGTATGGTGTTGGCGTTGGTGGTCTAACGGTTAGGCTACAGGACTCGTAATGGTAATGTTGTGAGTCCGGGGTTCGATTTCAGCTTGCTGTGACATTGTGTCCTTGGAAATCATAATGTCACTTTACATGGTTAAATTCAGAGGTCCTTCTTCTTATGAAATCTCAGTGTTGCAACAGGCTTTAAACCTATACATTTTCGGCACTCTTAAAAAAAATCTTTTATTCTTTGCAATGATTTTGTTTTCTCTGTCCTTCATGATCTCATGTTTTCACGCTATTTTTGTTACATCTTTTACTATAGAGCTCTGCAGAAGACCAGGTCAAAGTTCTCGAAGATGTTTGCCACGTTTTTGCCTCTTAGGGAGAAACATTTTAGTCTGCTGAGCAAGTAAGTTTTCTAGTGCAAGTTCTCACAGATTGGCTCACATTCAAAAACTGTGTTCCTATTTTACCATCATGTTTGATTTAATTTATAATGATATGTATGGAGGGTTTACCGTGAGCAGCGTGTATGATTTATTTATTTGTTCTTCTATTATTCTACCCTTGTTTCTGACGATATTTTCCTGGGGCATGCTACAAATATCATAAAAGAACAAATACAGAGAAAAGTGAATTATTCTTTATCTCCTTTCTAACGTAACGCAGACACCAAATATTTAGTCAGTTTTTATCTGTTTAAACTTATGAAACCACAGAAATTTTAAATGTTTTTTTCTGTTTTAGCTCAACGGAGACACCAAATGTTTAGTTAGTTTATCCGTTTTAATTTATGAAGACCGAATATTTTAATCCGTTTTTCTCTCTGTTGTAGCTTCCAGGAGGTTCTGGAGCTGCTGAGTCGCATCCCTTTGTTGAAGCCTCTGCGAGAGGAGGAGGAAGAGGTCATAGTTCAGGTCGGGAGGAAGAGTGTCGCGGATTCGGATGTTTTGAGTTTCATCTCTCCGTCCCCCGCCCCGGTGAATCTTCTAGAATGGATCACGACTCAGGTTGGTGGGGAGACATGGAAGATAGACAGACTGCATCAGAATGGTTTTGCTCGTTTCTTTTTTCTGCCATTTTCCACTTCAACTTTAAATGTTCTAGAATAGTACAGTTCTCTGTGTTGTCATTTAAAAATCATAATGATAATTAATAAATAATTTGATCGTCTTCAAACATCGACGGATGAACATTTGTTATTTTTATGACAACAAATAGCATCTGTATTGCTCATTTTCATTTCTAAATAGTGCTTTGTTGGCATTACAATGAAAGAGATATATCACATTTGAAACTTTAAAAATGTACAATACAAGTTGAAAACTCACTTTTAGTCACAATAAGATCATCTAGAATGGCTTTAAACCAAAAATGTTTCATTCTCTCTCCCTCTCTCTCCCTCTCTCTCCCTCTCTCTCTCTCTCTCTCTCTCTTCTCTCTCTCTATCTCTCTTCTCTCTCTCTATCTCTCTCTCATACACACTCTCACTCTCTCTCTCTCTCTCTCTTTTGATCTCTGAGAGTCAAACGTAAATGTAGCACCGTGTTCCATTTCCATCAGAGTTTGTCAACATATACCAGTTCAACTTCATTTTCACCAGAATTTTTATCATATTTCAGAGTAAAGGCCAGAGTCTGGAGGGGCTACAGCTCAAGTGTTACAATGACCTGGTGTTTGTAAGTTGTGGAAAGCAATTTTGTTCTGTTTTGTAACTGTGCTGATGGGGGGGGGGGGGGGGGGTGCTCTGGTATGGGTTTACTCCTTCTTTCCTATCAAATATCTATCAGTGCTCATATGACCTTATGTAGTTGCGAGTTCTGTAAAACACTTACCAATTGTAAAACCTCTACTTTTTGGCTCTTGTATAACCTTATTTTGTTGCAAGTGCTGTAAAAACTCTTAATGAAATAAAAAAACTAAGAAGATGTTGCAGATGTAGGAGTTGGTGCCTGTGGCTTATTCTCTTCAAACAATTATTGTCGGTAACTCTTTGTCTAAGCGACCTCTAACGTGTTGGTGTGCATTTTGCCAACCCATACAAATGAGCTTATTTCACGTTTGTCTGACCACGATTAAAATAAGATAAAAAACAAATCACTGTGTTTAATTTCCCCACGTCTTTGCTTGCGGGTCTACACGTTGGATAAATTAGAGAATCTAAAGCGTATTATTGAAGGTCACTACACGTTGGATAACTTAGAGAATCTAAAGCCTATTATTGAAGGTCACTACACGTTGGATAACTTAGAGAATCTAAAGCCTATTATTGAAGGTCACTACACGTTGGATAACTTAGAGAATCTAAAGCCTATTATTGAAGGTCACTGCAAACTATGGTTCTGACACATTTTCTTTTTACATTAGCTTAATTCGGGAAAGAAAATAAAAGGGGACATTCAGCATACTCCTAAAACATTAAAAAGTTGGACTTTTTTAAATCAACACCACACTTTATCCCGTGCCTAGGAAACATAGTACAACAGATGGGTGAGTACTTTTCAAGACTCATGTGGAGATGAAATTGACAAGCTTACACTGAAATGTGAAGGGCAGGGTGGTGCCACTGTCTCAGAATGAGCAATTCGTAGGCACGGTTACTGTGCTTTTATTGTTGTGATCCTGTGTATCCACCCAAATGGCGATATTAAGCATAGGGTCTAGTGTCCTATAAACTTTTTTATTACTAGATCAGAATTTAAAAAAAAAATTATTTTTGTTTGGCTGATGGTCTACAGGAGTGCCATGAAAAAAATTCGTGTGAATGGGCAAATCAATAAATAGTCAGAATTTTTTAATGCAGACAAGACGGAAGTGAACAAGCTATGGTAATCTATAAATCTGTTGTTGGTTTCCCAAAGTCAAATTAATTTTGTTCTTTTTCTGTAGTTTAACGAGGAGATGTTTGACCAGTATGAGCGTGGCGTCCACGAACTTCTGGACCTGGTGTCGGCGGACACGCAGATGAAGGCTCTGGTCGGGATCGAGAGACGCCTCTCCGAGCTGGAGAAAAGACTCAACGAGGCCAAGAGGATCGCAAAGGCACAAAACGATATGGCTCAGGTAGCTGTCGCAAGTCTCTTGTCGTCTTTACTTTTTTCGTTTATTTGTTGTTTTTTTGTAGAGTATTTATTCAGTACTTGTAGGGCCGCTACATGACTCAATTATACAGAGGTAGGTGTTGGTGAAAAAGATACAGTGTGTAGTTGGGGGGGGACTAATTCTATGACTACTTCTTTTACTTCTATTACTACTACGTCTACAAGTACTGCTATTACTAATACTGCTGCTAGTCTCAGACAACTTTGACTATTTATGTTTCAAGTGTCGTCAAATTGTTACTAAAACTAAAGTTCATTGACAGTGCTAGTCAGTAGGACTCTTTCTCCTCCTACATCCACTTTTATGACCTATTTGTGTTGCAAGTGCCTTAAGACTTGGATTAAGACAGGGGGAAAAAAAACCTCACCTTTCTCTTCCCATGGCCAGGCATTTATGAGCCAGCAGTCTCGGCTGAGCTCCACGCCCGACTCGTCCGTTCTGCCCGACCTGTGCACGAGTCACAAGCAGCAGCTGCGGCAGATGCTGGACGGCCACCAGAGGCTGGAGGCTCTGCAGGGAAACTTCTGCCGCTCCAAGCAGGAGATGTCCACCAACATACACCACAGGCTAGGGTAAGTGGGCATTGACATACACCATAGGTCACTAACATACACCATAAGTCTTTAACATACATAGACACCGTAATTAACTAACATACACCATAAGTCTTTAACATATATAGACATACACCATAGGTCACTAACATGCACCATAAGTCTTTAACATACATAGACACCGTAATTAACTAACATACACCAACATACACACCACAGGCTGGGGTAAGTGGTCTGTGACATACACCATAGGTCACTAACATGCACCATAAGTCTTTAACATACATAGACACCGTAATTAAGTAACATACTCACCACAGGCTGGGGTAAGTGGTCTGTGACATACACCATAAGTCACTAACATGCACCATAAGTCTTTAACATATATAGACACCGTAATTAACTAACATACACCAACATACACACCACAGGCTGGGGTAAGTGGTCTGTGACATACCCCATAAGTCACTAATATACACCATAAGTCATTAACATACACAGACATACACCAGAAGTAACTTACATACACCAACATTCACCACAGGCTGGGGTAAGTGGTCTGTGACATACACATAAGTCACCATAAGTCATTAACATACACAGACATACACCATAAGTAACTGACATACACCAACATACATCATGGGTTTGGGTAGGTTGTCACTAACATACATCAAAGGCTTAGATAAGTGATCGCTAATATGCATATACCTTGGGTCACCATAGGTCACCAAAAGTCACCAACATTCATAGTAGGCTCGGGTAGGTGTCCACTGACACACAGCAATACACATCATTTGCTTGGATAGGTGGTAGTTATCACACACCATTGGTCACTTACACACACCATAGAAAGACAGGTCACCAACATGATTAGATAATGTCTTGTCATTAAATAAGTTTAGAAACTGGGTGTCATCGTGGTGAAACAGGTGCTTGTCAAAATAACGAAACTGAAGAAATACACTTTTCTTTCTCCCGTTGGGTCAATTTTACAGATTTCTTTTTTGCTCAGTTCCTTTTTTATTGATTTATCAACAAATTTCTGGGTGGATTTTACTGAAAAACATCCATGAGTTTTCAAAGACTCTCAAGTTTTGGAAGTCACCAAACTTTGGCAGCCATTTCTTGTTAATTTTACTGGTAACACCAGACGACCCCCACCTCCCTGAATCGCAAGTTTTTTTACTTCTATTTGAGGTAGTTGGGTATTTTTAGAATCCAAAGCAAGGCAAATAAACAACCTGTGAGATGAGGTCAATAATTCTATATATGGTCAAAAAATTTACGAGCGCCTCATTCCACCGTGTCGTGGACATGTCGCTACCTTAGAATTGAAAGTTCTATTTGACATTTTTGGATGTTTTGAATTACTAAGATCAAGAGGTCAGAAATCCAATATTCTATCTGCTCTATCAAAATCATAAGATTATTCAGAGTGGTTATCAAAATATTCAAAGAATTGCTTTCGAAATAGCTTGACATGTTGTGAAACTCAAAACTTACAATGTCAAATTTCTCAAAATTTAATATAGTGTAAAGCGCATAGAGCCTGAAGTTGAGCGGGGATATGCGCTATACAAATGCTATTTATTATTATTATAAAATTAGGTACTGAGCAGAGAGAACTTTGTAACTGTAGGGTTGGCCCATATAATTAATCGTTAAATTGATTTTTAATTGATTCTTCATATAGCCGTGTGCTTTTTCCCTCAGGTGGGTGGTGGACATAGAAACGAAAATCTCCAAACTTGACAGTGATCTCATCTTCCATATGAAAACCTTGAAGCTCCTGGAGGTGAACCTGGAGCTTCTTAGCCAGGTCAAGGCCGCGCCACAAGTCTACGCACAGATGGTGATGGAGGCGGCGCGGAGGAAAGTTTTCTCGCAGCAGTTTGAGCTGGTCAGCTGATTGTGTCGTGTTGTGCTGTGTTGTGCTGTGATGTGTCGTATGTGTTGTGCAGTGTTTTGTTGTTTTGGGTTGTGTTTTGTCATGTGTGTCACTGTGTTGTGTTGTGTCGTGCTGAGTCTTGTCATGTCATGTGGGATTTGCCCCTTCTTTTTACTTCTTCCTGAACACCTCATTCTCCATCCCTTTTTCTCTTTCTCTTTCTTCAACCACTTTTTCTTTATTTCTTGTTTTGTCCCTTCTTTCTTCTTGTGTTTGCCTTCTTTTCTTCCTCCTCCTCTTCTTGTGCATGCTGTCAAATAATCATATATACATTTTTTCTGAGAGCTTCAAGTGAAAACTCTCTAGTCACGCATTGCTTAACCACATATGGACAACTTTTATCGTGATGAAATTCTTCCACCCATCCACTGTTGATGCTTGTTGCTAATTCTTCTGTTAATATTTGGTTACCCCCTGGGGTGGTGCTACTGACTGAAGTGTCTTTAACTCCATATGCCCAAAAATTTACAAATATGCTCAGTAAAATTGTAAATGGGCTGATTCATCAATGTCATGCTCATAACTGTTCCTGAACTGCATGCGGGGAACTGCTGCTTTTTCTTTCCATATATGTACTATCATCATTTTTCCCCTACTTCTTTTGTATGGTTGTCACTCTCTTGTGGCCCGCTATTTCCGGGGTGCCTTGATAGTCGAAGCAGACTTTGTGGTGTTGAAGCTTTAGAGGTGAGCAGAGTAAGCCTGATTCCCTGTAAGGACTTCTCTGTTGACATCCACCCCTTGGCGCTCATATGACCTTATACAGTTGCGAGCACCGTAAAAACTCTACTAAAACAAAACAAACAAATATTTGGTTGATGTAAAGGAAAGCTAAGATAATGCTGTGAGTGGTCATATTCTATCATATATGTGGTGTTTGTGGTATAGTGTTTAGACTGCTGGGTTCGCATCTGAAAAGATTGTTGGTTCAAACCCCATCAGAGGCTTAAAGTTGTGTCCTTTGGAAAGGCACTTTACATACGTTTTTCTCCCACTTCGCAAATGTGGGATTGGGTACCTGGCTGTAGACGCTGAAGGATCAGGTTGCAAATTTTGGGGCGCTTGATCGGCTGCTTATACTGAATCTTCCCGGGAAACTGAGAATGTTTTTGAGTGTTCTAGGGTCTGCTAGGGTTACATTTATAGATTCTAAAGCTTTTAGAGCTTACTGTTGAGTGGAGATATGCGCTAAACAAATGCTATTTGTTTATTGTTATTTATTGTTATTAATATGAAACCACGATGAATTGAACCTGTGTTTATTTGATGTGTCAAAATTGTTTGCTTGTGCATTTGCCCCAATTGTTTGCTCGTTTGTCTGTCCTAATTGTCGGCTCATGTGTCTTTACCAATTATTAGTTCATGTGTCTGTACCAATTGTTAGTTCATGTGTCTGTACCAATTGTTAGTTCATATGTCTGTACCAATTGTTAGTTCATTCGTCTGTACCAATTGCTAATGGGTGGTTGGCGGGTGCTCTGGTGTGGTTTGCTCCTTCTTTCCTATCAAACATCTATCGTCTGTATCTCCCCTCCTTCTTTTTTGTGTTTGTTACTCTCTCTCTCTTGTAATACCTCTAATCTTCGGCACTTATATGACCTTATTGTGTTGCGAGTGCCGTAAAACACTTGCTAAAACTAAAAAAACCAATTGCTAGCTTGTGTGTCTGTCTCAATTGTTGGCTCGTGTATCTGTCTCAATTGTTGGCTCGTGTGTCTGTCTCAATTGTTAGCTTGTGTGTCTGTCTCAATTGTTGGCTCGTGTGTCTGTCCCCAGTGGGCGGACAGTCTGGTCGGAGACTCGAAGCAGCTGTACGAGGCCGAGGTGGAGCTCAGGAAACATTTTACAAACAAACTGGGTATGTCTATGCACCTTTGTTACCAAAACAAAAAAACGTTTATGAAAAAAGGTTGCTTGGATGGTTAGGATGTTGGGCTCACAATCAAAAGGTTGTAGGTTTGTACCCCATCATGGGCCTGACTTTGTGTTCTTGGGAAAGGCACTGTACACTTAATTTTCTTCACTTCGCACAGGGGGCAATGGGTCTCTGCCTTTTTCTGTCCTCTTGTACCGCAAGATGTCAAGAAAAGACGTGATTGTTAAGATACATCTTTGCTGTCCAGATCCTGGTACTTTGGTTTGGTGTTTCACAACGTACACACACACACACACACACACACACACACACACACACACACACACACACACACAAACATAAAAACACATACACAAACACACAAACATGCACTCACGTGCAGTATGCTTGCACTCACAAACAAACAAGCACGGTCGCCACTGAGTAGTGTCTTGGATAGGGTCATCACATTGTGCCTTTGAATGGTCCCCAATACAAAATGCAAAAGGTTCTCAATGATGATGTGGCATCATTGTATTGTACTGTGTGAGTCTGTGAATAGTTAGTGGAAGTTAGGATAGAAAAAAAAAAAGAGGAAGTTAGGATAGACTTATTATGGACTAGAAAAAAACATTCCCACACGGTATTCAAATAGCATGAATAGTAACCTCAGACTTTGAAATGTTGATTAAGCTGGGGGTTTTTTTTTCTCAAAATCGTGCAGCACTCTTTTCTATACTCTCGGTGTAACCAGTTTTTTTTAAATTTCTGGTCTTCTGGTCATGTTTCAGCACTGTTTTCTGTTTTTAAACTTAAAATTGTGAATTTGAAAGGATTGTTGTACATTGAATAGGCCTGTCGGCTTAATACATGTCAGTGTGGAACCTGTCACATTTTTAATTTGATTTAATTTCACTGTGCTCCACGTGCTCATATGACCTTATGCACTTGCAAGCGCTGTAAAATCTAACCAAAACAAAAAAACAACAACAAGAATTCACTGTGAAGAGCCTAGAGCCAATAGGGAGTTGGCATTACACAAGTGATCTTTATTATTATATGAAAGTTTCATTTCTCTTTTGTTTTGTTTTTTCAGGGCAGCATTTTTTCCTTCACACTCTGTTCAAAGGATTTGGGGACATGCCGCCCAATTTTGCCGTAAGTAGCCGTGTTTGTGCTGGGTCATTTTATCTGTCTGTCAGTGTGGTTTTTTTTTGTGTGAGTGTACAGAGCTTCCGAATTTATGAGATTTTCAAGGTGTCCTTTTAAGTTCTGTTAGAGTTTTAGATAGTGTGTTTTGTGTATGTTTGAATATGAGCCTGTGGGTGGCTGGTGGATGCTCTGGTGTGGTTTGGTCCTTCTTTCCTGTCAAACATCTATGGTTCTTACGTCTCCTCCTTTTCTTTGAATGATACTCTCTAGTAATACATCTATTCTCTGTGACTTGTAAGACCTAATTGTATTGCGAGTGCCGTAAATCTCTTACTTACGAAAGAAAACTATGAAGTATGCTAAATATTTTATGGTGACGTCTGTGGTCTCGGGGTTAGGCTCTCAGATATTCGAACATAAGGTCATGGGTTTGAATCCTGTTAAGGGCCTGACGTGTTCTTTGGAAAGGCAGTTTACATGAATTTTACTCATTTCACCCAGGTGGGAATGGGGTATAGATAGTGAAAGATTTAGTCAGTTTGTTAGTTCGCGTAATCCGCAGCTTGCACTTTATGATATCCAGGAAGCCGAGAATGATTCTGAGTGTTCTAGGGTCTGCTGGGGTTACGAATGTGGTAAAGGCCAAAGAGCATGTTACAGAGTGTGAATATGCACTGTAATAATACATTATTATCATTATTTATTATTATTATTATAATTGTTTTTAATACTATCATTATCGTATATCAATGTGTAACCTGATTCCCCCTTTTTCTGTCCCTGTCTTCTCAATAAAGACCAAAGCTCCGCAGCAATTTGACTCCAGCCTCCCCAACATCACGACGGAAGACATTTCTTTGTTGAAGTCTTCAGTTCCTGAGCTGGAGGGCTCCTTATGGTAAGTACTGATTCCCTCGCTCCTTTTTGAAATTGTCCTTTTTTTTTTCTGTCCAGATATAAATATTGCTGGCATGTCCCTACATGGAAAATTTGAGTGTTGAAATAAAGGTATTTTCACACAGGTGGACAGTGATTATTATAAACACTCGTTCAGCCATACGCGACCTCTGTGCTTTATTGTCTTACCTCCATTTTTTACCAACATTGAAAACAGTTTATAACAAAGAATGAGCTTAAGAAGAAGTCACAGTTCCAATGTTTAAAAAAATGGAGATACGACAAGAAAGCACTGAGGTCGCGATAAGCTCAGTTGCTATAATTTCGAATGCAATTCTTTGAATATTTTGATAACTACTCTGAATGATCTTACAATTTTGATAGAGCAGATAGGATATTTGGTTTCTGACCTCATGGACTTTGGTGTGTGTGGTCCTGGCTCAAGTCTTCCAACAAGGCATTGTTGAATATAAGGCTGAACCTGCTTTAATGGTCACCTGAATGAGACAATCACCTGTAAAATCGGCCACTTCCCATTTCCTCCTTGCTTATTTTTCACATTTAAATGACCTTGTAAAATGTCACCTGTATAAGACAACCACTTTTCTCCTCGACTAAGGGTGGCTGTCGTGAACAGTTTCGACCATACATGGACGCAGTATCTATCCGGAGATGTCTCTGACGGAGATAAACCAATCAAAATGCTTTGTGACTCTTGACCAAGTAAAAAGATCTGGGGGGTTACAAGGGGTGTTTTAACCCATAATTTGATATTTTGCAGTTAGGTTTGACATTTTTAAAATAATAATTGATTTGCGACAGTTTTAGTGGCTATATGTGTGATCTGCAGCAAATAATACACAGTTTGACCCCCCAAAATAGTGTATTTGTGTGCGGGAGTGCGTCTCCGAATAGTTCCTGGGTGCTCGCCAGAGACGTCTCCAAATATCTTCTGCGTTACATGGAAGTTGTTGGGTGGGAGTCGTCCAGATTTGTCTTCTGCTTGGTTTGGTTCTGTGGCAGATCGGTGGAAAAGTTTGATTCTGTTTCGTAAATAGCTCTACAATGTTGCTAGGTTAGGTACATATGTATTGTACCGCATGCCGCATACCTTCTCATAGATAATGTTGCTCCCCCCCCCCCCACAGTACACCGATCGTGGTTCAGTCGTTCCCCCAGAACCAGGCAAGCTTCAGACGACTGGGGGGTTCGACATCCCCACACTCCGTCCTGCCGAACTCCCAGTCCTCACAGACTGAATGGTCACATCAGGTAGGTATTGCACTCCTTCCCCCCCTTGCCTAGCTCCAACTTCTCACAAACAGACTGGTCACAATGTATTATAAGTCCTTTTAGCTTCCCCACCACTCGTTTCCCCTCACACCTTTCAACTCCTCCCTCTCGTGTCTTCC